ACACAATGCTTGAAAGACAGGATCTTAGACTGAATGATAGCTGTAAGGACAGATTATTAAGTTCTTATATTAATATCACTCAGTCTATATTTTCATTAAATTAAAGTCCTTTTCTTTTCTTTTTTTTTGTTTCTTTGGTGTATTTTAACTTCTTTCACTTCTTTCTTCTCTTCTATTCTTAATATGTTCTTCTTATTTTTCCCTTTCTTCTCAATTTTCTGCCATAAAGGCATCTATTCTAAAATACGTTTAGATGTTTATATTCTCTGATAAAGGCATCAAGATTAGATGATGACTACAGGAGTTCCAACAGTTCTAAGCAAAGAGCTCTAGTTTTCAAATTCAAGCCAGATTTTCCATAAAAGATAAAGGCTAAAGAGTCAAATACGCCCTTGAACTGATTTAAAGTGTTCAATTGGCCCTTTGTATAGGAGGTTCTGCCCGGCTGTCATTAATTGGGACGGTTCCCGGTGGAATTTTTTGATGAAATTTTTTGAGTATCTTCTTCATTAAGTCTAGTTTACCCATACCAAATTTCAGCTAAAAATGCAACCGGGAAGGCAGTCAAATGATTTTCCGAAATGTACTGCGCTGTTTAACTTTGCAGTTATCTTCAAAAAATCATTTCAATGCCTTCCCGATTTAAGTTTTAATTAAGATGAAATTTTGTATGAGTAAACTAGACTTACTGAAGAAGATGCTAAAAAAAAGTTTATCAAAAAATTCTACCGGGAACTGCCCCAATTGGCGACGACCGGGCAGAACCTCCTATATAAGGGACTAATTAAACACTTTAAGTCACTTCAATGGCCCATTTGACCCTTTAGCCAAAGATAAAAGACACAACCAACTTGTTGTTGATGGAAGAAAACTTCAAATTTTAATCAAAATACAAGGGAAATGTGTTTATCTAGCACTGCTCAAAACTAAGATTATGTGCCTACGAGAGGACCAAAGGACTTTATGTTTCACATATAAATGGCTTCATTATATTGAACTGTTTATATTTAATCTCAAAAGAAGAAGAAATGTGATTGGCTATACATATACAAATCAATTCATAGCATTTGAACATTTTGGTTTGACACAAGACTGGTCGAATATTGGGTCTTCTAAAAGCATAAGAAGATGCAAAAAGGATAGAGGAAAACTAGGATTCTTTAGAAATATATAGCATCCACCACGGGAAAGAAACATTTATTTTAACTTTTTTCAAAGCATGAACTCAGCACCTAAACAAAACAATAATTAAATTTCAGATTTTAAATGATAGCGTTTTCAATTGGAATACTATAACGATGGACTTTTTGTGTCACCTATGTATTCACAAAGAACATCAAGTTCCATAGAGGAATGGTATTGATTATATATATGAGGCTGTACTAAAATATTACAAATCCAGATGCACACTCTTGTAGGAGTAACTATTTCAAATATATCTGAAATTAAAAACCGAAAGAGCTAAGATCAAGCTACACTTTCTGGATTAATTTTTTATTATCAATTAACCACATTAATGCCTTAGACCGTGTGAGCTAACTACAACTATAATGAGAATTTTCCCATGAGTAAAAATGTAATATCAAAAGGCATGACCTTAAGAGAATAAATCAACAGAACATTTATTTACTAGTGTACCTATTAGGACAAATTCTGTTCATGTGTGAACCTAATATGACATATGTTTAATGTTTATGTCTTTTTTTGTTTCCTTGGAAAAAGACCATATAGATAAAATTTGATGCCAAAAGATTTATTGTGGTGTGATGGTGTCTGAGCAAATTGTAGAGATAAAACAAATGAGCATGTGCTTACATTGCAGGAACCAATCCCTTGGTAAAGGAATGTGCCCTGAAGGTCACCTTTTGGTCACAAGCATTTGGATATCAGGACAACTAGCTCTTCTATGCAAACACTTCAGACATCCCTACATGAAGGTTATTCCATTAATCATGAAACTAATTCCTATTTGGTCTTAGGTTGTAAATTTGTTAGGAAAATCTAGTGAAGAGTGACAATAGAAAGCATTTAAATATGGAACTTTAAACAATTTTGCATAACTTCACAAATGAGAATTGAAGCTGCAGCAATTCATTAATTTAATACTTCAGAAACTAAATTAACTCCCAGCACATTCTAACAAAGTAACCACATGTTTCAAGATGGAAAAACAATACAAGAAATAGGTGATACATTAGAACTACATCGCATTTGTATAATAAACCCATAGAATAAGGTCAAAGTTATTTGCAGACAAACAAGTCCTAAACGGTCTAATTTTGATTGGATATTGGATAGCTATTTTGCACAAATTAAAACCCTAAATTTGATTGATGAATAAGTCGCATACATACCGAAGGAGAATCCTTCAAAACGTCAAAATTCTCAATTCATTGGGCGGACAAGTGAAGCCCGTGAAAAACGGCTGGGTGCTCTTAGGCTGCGATGAAGAGAAGGATACGCCCTTTCTTCTTTCTTCAGAAACTTCTTTCTTCTTTCGTTGGTTGCTGTGGAGTGTAGGGGTGGGCGCGGTCCGGAACGGTCCGGTAAATTGGTAAAACCCATAATGTATCTGTGAGCTTTTTAACGGTCCGGTACGGTCCAGTTTCAAGGATAAAACCGTTCGGTACCATTTCGCTTCAGAACGGTACAAAACGGTATGGTACAATGCCAAACACATGCTAAATTTTTTGAATAAATCTTACAATTAGTATATATCATTATATCAACCAACTCACATGAAATGTTGATATAAATACAAGAAATTGCATATGTAGTACTAAAACTCACAACTACACAAATAGTGCAACACAACTAAGAAAAAGTATAGCAAAATGATACGCACGAGATAAATATCATCTTTAATTTACTAAGTTCATGTGAAATATAAAAAAGAATATAATATATTAGAAATCTTCAACGTTCTTCTTCGTTCTATGTTACTCCGTAGTTCTTATTTAATTTACAGAATGTACAGAAATTACTCTAAATAGGAGTAAAAACGTTTTGAAATTCCAAAATAGGAGTTTCATGTTTTTTATTCCCTAAATAGGAGTAATCTGCCAAGTTTGGAAAAAAATGCCATGTTTAAAACCTTGTAATTTCCAAACTTGGCAGAAATTTACTCCTATTTAGGGAATAAAAACATGATACTCCTATTTTGGAATTTCAAAACTTTTTTACTCCTATTTAGGGAATTCTCTCTTTAATTTATAGTTGAACCTTGAGAGCTAAGATTTAAGCTATATTAATTAAGTTGTAAAATTGCACAAACATGATACAACAAAAAGTCATGTACACAACATTACTAGAAATGAATAGTCATTAATGATTTTTAAAATTCTAATATTCTTTCGATCAACACATATTAAATATAACATAAATTATCTAAAAACAAAAAATAACAATATATATAAACACACATTTAGCTATTTTAAGGACGCATAAATACATACTTGGGCTATAAAATTAATGGTCTATAAAAGAGATCTATTGGTATAGAAAATATATACAAAATTCAAATGAATTATTTTCGAACGGTTCGGTCCGGTATATTTCGGTTCTCAAAATCTAGGACCGGTCCCGTACCCGTTTCAAACGGTATAGTTTCGGTACGGGACAAAAATCTATAGAACCATTTAAATACCCGATATTCGGTTCGGTACCATTACGGGACAGTTTGATACCGGTTCGGTTCCGGTTTTATGCTCACCCCTAGTGGAGAGTAGTGAACTATTAGGTATTAGATGTCTCCGTTAGAATTGAAGATGCCGTTTACTGTTCAAGGACTAAAGTGTAAAATTTCTTTTTCTTAAACTGATTGCCTCGTCATTATATCTATGTGTTTTATATGTCCACTTGTCTATCTATTATTTGGCCACTCAAGCAAAGTATGGCACCTTTTATTAATTATGAGAGAAGTTGTATAAACAAACAAAAGTAGCGACACGTATATCAAATTAAGTGTAAAACAAAATTAAGAGTAAAAGCAAAATATCACTTTTAGTTTTCTGTATTAAAGACAAATTCTTTGTAAACACTACGGAGTATTTTAATAGCCACTTAAACTTTTGCTTTTCCCTCCGTTTATCACTTTATCTTCTAATTAAATTTTGCTACAAAAAAAAAATCAATAAAAAACATTAAACGAATGGTCCTAAGAAGAAAAAAGAGGCATGCCACCCATACTACATAGTACATACAAATATATTTAGAGTCAGATGATCTTGTTTTTTTACTTATATCAGCTAACTTTATCACCAAACACATAACATATGATTTCACATGTTGAATTGTGTAATAATAAGAAAAAGTAAGATTGAAGTTACTTTTCTGATTATATTGGCCGAAGTTACGGTTGATGATCATTTTAGCTATTTTTATGTCACTTTTTCTTTAGTTTATTATAAATTACTCCCTACGTCCCTAATAACTTTGCCAAGTTTGACCGGCACAGAGATTAATAAAGTAAAAACTTTGTGGTTGAGGTTTGTGCAGAGGAGAGAGAATTAACAAGAACCACAAATTCTTTACTTAAATAGGAAAGTGGCAAAGTTAATGAAACATCCAAAAATGAAAAGTTGCCAAAGTTATAAGAGATGGAGGGAGTATATTTTAATTTTTTTGTCATAAACCATCAAAATCAGTCAATCTAGTCATTTCCGCCAGAATTTTATAAATATCATTAGATTCAGTCAATACAGCCGATTTGAGTAATAGTGGAACCCACTGACTTTTTCTCAATCAAAACATGTAGCGCTGTCGTCACTCCTGGCGTCACTATTGCCGGCCTAGTTGAATATGGTAATACGAAGAAGTATAACCCATCCAACGGTAGCTGTAAAATAAAATGTTGGGTGATACAGATACTCCGTATTGTTTTATTTTTCGCAATTTGCACATAAGATACTAGTACGGTGACGTATACGCGTGCGTCAGCCATGATATACTAGTTGCTTCAACGTACCTATTATATACTCCGCTTCGTATTAAAATATAACGATCTGAATTAAACACCATTCCATCTCTCAATCAACTCTCCGATCCGAATTTTAACCATGAAACAATCGCCCCGATCGGAGACCAACTCCGGCGCCACCTCGAGCGAAGGCTCGTGCGATTCCGGCAGCAGCGACGGCATCGATTGCGCGCTGCTCGTGGCGGAGAATGCGATCATCATCTTCGGCAGGCGCGGCTGCTGGATGTGCTACGTCATGCAGCGGTTGCTCTTGGGCCTCGGCGCCAACCCCGCCATTTATGACGTCGATGTGGAGGACGAGGTCGCCATTGCCAACCAGCTTTCCCGGATTCGCAGCTGCACTGGAGGTCCCGCCGCGCAGATGCCGTTGCTTCCGGCGGCTTTCATCGGCGGGAAGCTCTTCGGTGACTTGGACAAGGTTTTGGCGGCTCATATCGCTGGAGATCTGGTGCCTCTGCTTAGAAAAGCGGGTGCCCTCTGGCTTTGATTTGACCTACAGTGTCACCATATTTCTTCATTTGTTTTCCCTTAATAATTGTTAAATACGGAGTACGAAGTAACAAAGACTCATTGTGTAAATAACTTATGAACTCAACCTATATTTAATTTTCCTACTACGTACTACGTATATCCTTCGATTTCCAAAATAACTTTGTACTACTTCCGTTCTTAAATAAGTGTAACATATTGAATTTTACACTATTCACATGTTCTACTTTGATTACGTTTAATTAAATAATGTATTAATTATTTTCTTGAAAAAAATATTGTTAAATTTGTCTCATTGTAAATTTTCAAAATCTATTTTTTAAATTCTTTTTACTAATAAAAAATTATATATATTAATGGTCAAAGTTGTGCCTCGACAAGTGTGAAATGTTGACCCTTGCACTTATTTTAAGAACGGAGGAAGTATTTGTTTATTAATGCAATTTTCGCCTTTCGTATTGTAATAAAGATCCGGCTATTTACCCTAAAAAAGAAATAAATTACTCTTAATTATATGCAACAATAAAAGCATGAAAAAAATCTTTTGTTCTGGATATTACTAAAAATAGGATAAAAGATAAAAAGTGATATTCTCTTCGTCCCTTATAACTTTGTCAGCTTTCCTTTTTTATTATCCCAAAAACTTTGTTACTTTCTCTTTTAATCATTCGATTTGTGACTCTATTATTTCTCTCTCCTCTGCACGAATCTCTACCACACAGTTTTTACTTATTATTCTACGTATGAGACAAACTTGGCAAACCTTTGAGGGATGGAGGGAATATGTTTTAAAAAAATTCAAAAATGTGACCAGCATCACAACTAACCTGCAGTGCAAAGTGACTCCGGTCAAAGTGACTCTGCCGCCACAGTGACTCCGCTCGTCAGTGACTGCGCCGCCACAATGACTCCGCCCGCCAGTGACTGCGCCACCACAGTGACTGCCGTTGCCCCGACCAAAGTGCCTGCCTGCCCACCGGTCCACCCCGGACAAAGTGACGGGCCGCCCAACTCCTATAGTGAGTGCCTGCCTAAGTACACCACCGTCGTCCACGCTGTAAACCACCACTATCTGCCACCCGCCTTCAACCACAGCCTGCCGCCAAGTCCAGCCCCTCTTCTACACTAACCCCAACCCCAATCCCCTCTCCCACCTACCCAAGCCCCTAACCCTACTGTGACTGCTGTCAACTACTCTGAACGTCCACCCTCGTCACCCCTGTCCTCCGTGATGGTCCCGGATAGAGGTAAAAGTCTAGAGGGGGGGTGAATAGACTTTTATAGCTTTTTCGTCTTTAAGAACTTTTCCCTTCTAGATGAGTTGATCTATAATCTTTTGGGAGATTAATAGATGCACAACGGAAGTCTTTAACCTCTAGAAACTCAGTTTAAGATAACTTTCTAATCTGGGTGATGTTTAGACTAATTATGGAAGGGCAGTAGGCTTGGCAGTTGGATGATGGGTAGGCGACTGCTGAGGCAACTGCTGAGTTGGCAGTTAGCTGAAATGCAGGAGACTGCTGAGGCAACTGCTGAGAAAATATTGGGTGTTTGAAGAAGGTGATGATGAAATGTTGCTAAGAATAGTGAGGGCTTTTGAAAATGTGCTTTAGTATATGTAATTAGAAGTTTTACTGGAGCAGTGGTCTCAGCAGTTGATTGGTGATGAGGGCACTGCTGAGGTGCCTGCTTGGTTTAGAGGATGAATTTCACAGAGCAGTTTGGTCAACTTCCTCGTTGGTAATGTTATGAAGGTCCAGTGATATTGAGATGTTTAAGAAAAACAAGTGTTTGTGAGCAGAGGGATCAGCAGTTGGATGGACACTAGGGGACTGCTGAGGCACCTGCTATACTTGAGAATGAATTTCTGGAAAATGACCTGATAGGCCTTTTAGTGATATTTGTACACGTTTCTTGAAAAAAAAATCTCAAAGAAAGTAAGTAATTAAGCAGTAGGATAAGCAGTTAGGTCTGTTAAGGCAACTGCTTAGGATGCTGCTGGCAAACTCCAATCTTTTTGTGAGAAGTGTTGGTTGTGTGCTTTGTTGACTAACATAAAATCAACACACGATGTATCCTGGTTCAGAGGTGGTGTAATCCTCTTACATCCAGTCCCACCCTCTTTCAGATGGATTTCACTAAAGTATTAAGCCCAATACACTTAGTGTCAATCCAGCCTTTACAACACTTAGGCCTAGATTGAAGGTTTTTCACAATGAGTATAGCACCACTCAAGGTTACTCAGTCCTTAGACTTTTCTCTATTGAACCAGTGGGGTTCAAAAGGTACTCTTTTCTATCTAACTGCACTTTAGGATCTGAACAACCGTTCTCCTAAGTGTTTACAACAACTTGTGATTACAAGAAAGTTCTAACCTCCAACTATGAACTAAGCTCTTCAAATATGACAGTTGTTGATCTAATCTTAGAGCTTAGTGAAGCATGAGTCTAAGCAGAGAGCAAAGTTGAATTGGCACTTTCTCTTTTGCTTGATAGCTCGTGAATACTTAGAGTGATTACTCGACTTAGAAGACTCAAAAACTTGATTTTAGAACTCATGCCTATGCCTTCTTTTATAGGCTTCTCCAGTAGGTTGATCTCCTCCGTTGGTTGAGAGGATTCAATCCTATTCGTAGAATGAGGTGTACTCTTGTTCTCTTGTGCTGGAGCTGATATTGGAAATTTCCTTTGTCTTCACTGATTAGTAGCTAGAAGATCAAGTCAAGGTTCAATCTTCACGATTTGGTGTGTGCGACCCATCTTCTTTGGTCTTCGTACTGTTGAGCATTTAATGCTTTTCTTGTCTTTGTCTTCAATCATACACATGCAGTGTATGTGTGTGTGTATGCCGTGTTCTATTTTATTATGTACCAAATAAATTTGTAATTTCTTGATCAGCTGATTATGTGACTTGATAATTTTATGTACTAAATAAATTTATACTGGTTGGATCTGAATGTCCTTTTAAGGTAAAAAGAATACCTTATTGCATTTTAATTTTCCAGTAAAAATTTATTTAGTACAAAAATTGTACATTTTAATTGGTCACAGTTTGAGAGTCTGATCAACCTTTAATTAAAGTAAGAACGCAGGACATATTGACTTTTAGTATAGTGGCATCATCAAAATCTTATTAAAATTGGGTACTAACAATTTCGCCCTTTTTGATGATGCCAAAACTATACTAAGCAGGGAAGAATTTTTCTTTATTAACATGAGAATAGTTACAAGTGTTTATGCTATTACAGTAGTTTATAGTCATTCTCAGACTAATGATTAAATCTACTGATGTTGCTTATCTTCATCTTTCTTCTTGACTTCATCCTTTGCTTTGGCTTCTTCTGATTTTCTCTTCCTAATTTCAGCCTCTTCTTGCAGTAGTTTGTTCTTCCTTCTTGTTTCAGCTGCCTTCTTTGCAGCCAGCTGTCTTTTGGTTGAGAGTCCTGCTGAGGTTGCTTCCCCCTTTTTGGCATCATCAGCAGGAAGCTGGCTTTCTTGGAAGAGAGCTTCTATTTCTGGATCAGAGTCAATTTCCACATGTCGTCTTTTTGGGCGTAGATCACTGACTTCAACTGCCACCGCTTGTATAATGTTTCGAAGATCCATGACATCTACTTTGACATCTTCTTTGACCAATCGGTCCAACTTCTCAAGATTGTGATCAGTCGTTTGTTGTTGTTGATGAAGTTTATTAAATTCATTCCCTTGCTTTAAGAATGCTTCTTGAGTAGCTTTGTGTAGATCAGTGAGATGCTTAGCAACATCCGCTCTTGTTTTACCAATTGCCTCAAAATGCTCTACCTGTTTTGCCACCACTTTCTGGGATAGTTGAAGGATGGCAGGCATCTCCTTGGTCTTGAGATGTTGTATGAACTCCTCATGCTCTTGAACTCTCTGAATGGCCTGCTCAAGGTTAGTAGGTAAAGTAGAGATAGAGTTTACCGGAGCAGAGGTCTCTGCTGCAGCATGAAAGGCATCTGCTCTTGCTTGTGCTTGTTGAAGTGTCGGAATCTGATTTTCTAGCTCCTCATCTTTAGCTCGAAGTTCTGCGAGGGCTTTGTGGATTGCCTCTAGCTGAGCAGGTTGATTTGCAAGCTGAATCTGAAGTTGAGCCTTTTGCTCAGAGTTGAACACTTGTTGTATCATTAGGTTGCTTCTGATGTGCCTGTGAACCTCTGTGAATCTTAAGTCAAGGAGATCGTCAAAATGCTTCTTCATTTTGATCAACCGCTTGTGTAGTCTCACCTCAGCATTACTGATGAATTTGATGGTTGCCCTTCTTTCGTTGATGAAGACCTCTGCCAGTGTGGGGGTGTCCTCTTCTCCATCATGGAGAATTTGATCTTTGAGATCATTCGATGTTGGAGGTTCCTGCTCTGGGATATCCTCTTGATAGGAGTTCATGTTGAGGTTCATTGGTTGAGGCTCTTGAGTAGCAGTCATCTGTTCCTGGGGAGCTTTAGAAGATTCTCCTCCTCCATGAGTTTCCAATCTTGATTTCTCCAAGATTGTTCTGAATTCTTTGTCACTAGAAGAGGAGGAGGAAATAATTTGTTTACCTCTTTGTTTGCTGGGAGGTCCTTTGTGGGCATCACCATCATCATCATCATCATCATCCAGATCATCTGAGTCATCATCTTGGATGGATGTTTTGCCTAGCATTTGACTCCTTTTGGTGGTGTAGACTAGGTTGATGTGGTGAAGTTTTGTTGCAGTTGCAATGTCTTCAGTGCCTAGCCATCCCAGAGCAAAATCTTCTTCCTCAATGAAGTTTGATAGGGTTTCAGCTTGCATAAGAATGCGAGAATGCTTCCAATGTCTCCAAGCTTTAACCCTTGCCAATTCTATATTCAGCTGTTCGAGGGGAGTTAGGTTGGGGGAGTCAATGGGTAGTGAGTGAGGTACCTGTTTGTCTAGAGGACCCATCTGCTCATTTTGTTGAGTTGCCTGCTCATCTGTTAGAGCCATCTGCTCATTTAGGAAGACCGTTTGTTCTTCTATAGGATTTGGTTGATCTACCAGATGCTGTATTCTTGGACTGAGAGTGGAGAGGGGTATGGCAGAGCTGTTGCTTGCATTAGATGAGTTGGAAGAGGGCTCAGCTTCTTCTTGAATGATGGTGAGAGGGGAGGCTGCTGCTGCTTCTTCATGAATGATTGGTATAGAGGAGGCTGCTTCTTCAAGTTCTTCCTGTAGATTTCTTGTTGTTCTTCTAGATT